AGAGAGAGAGAGAGAGAGAGAGAGAGAGAGAGAGAGAGAGAGAGAGAGGGTGGGGGTGAAAAACCAATCACCCAGTTTCCTTGTTGGTGTAGCACAGCAGTCAAACCAGTGAGAGTTCATCGATCTGAGACAGTGATTTTAAGGTAAGTGGGATACAGAAAATGGTTCAGCAGACATTTGACCTGCTGGTCAATGGAGTCCTGATTACTAGCTGTACAATGAGATTTAGGTCTCGGTGAGGTTGGCCATTCAGCATGTGATTTTTTTTCTTCATGTTTTTTCTTCATGTTTGTAAGACTGAGGTAATGATGCTGCAAAAAAATGTGCTGAAATGCAGCATAGCACAAAAAAGAGGAGCTGATAAAGCTGAACTTTGCAAAAAAATATTTACAGAAAGAAAACAAAGGTCTATATGCTTTAAACAAAAAGATGAAATGAAACATAAACAAAGTTAGACACAGCCTGAAAGCATGTGCATACTGAAGAGTGAACTTTGTGGACAATGAGCTTCCCAAAAATCCACTTTCATAATGACCAAAATTAGTGCTGGGCGGTATACCGTTTTGTACCGAAAACTGGTTTTTATTTTTGTTATGATATGAATTTTCAGTACACCGGTTTTATTAAACCTTGGAACATGCGCGCCAATGTCCTGTTTCACCACGGATCGTTTTCATTGCTACACCGCTGAATGCACGAGCAGCAGTAGCGAGTGCTGTGGAGGAGGGTGAGAGTGTGAAAAGAGATGGATAAAGATACAGCTGAAGGAGTGGTGGCAGACGTACCATTTGAGGATGATAGCCAAGAAGAACTTGTGCCTAAAAGAGGGGTAGTTTCTTTTGTGTGGAATTATTTCGGCTTCAAAACCTCGGATGCCAATCAAACGTCAGTTATTTGTAAAGTCTGTCGAAGTAAAATTGTTGCCGCTGGCGGCAACACAAGCAATCTGCAACACCATCTCAHTCGCAAACACAAATTAGAATATGAAGACTTTTTAAAACTTAAAGTGGCTGCTTCCACAACCAAACACGGGAAAGCTTCAGCAGGACAGTCAAGTCAAACATCACTTGCAGACGCGTTCGGCAAAGGTACTCCTTACGAGAAAAAAAGCAAGCAGTGGGTTGAAATAACAAATGCCATCACTTTTCACATTGCTAAAGACATGGTCCCGTTAAGCGCTGTAGAAAAAGAAGGTTTTCGAGCTCTTGTCAAAACGCTGGATAGCCGCTATATCATACCAAGTCGGAAATATTTTGGCCAAACATCGATCCCCGCATTGTACCAAGAGCACAGAGAAAAGCTACAAACAGAGGTGGCTACTGTCCCACACTATGCGACGACAGCTGATATGTGGTCAAGCCGCACAATGGAGCTGTATTTGAGCCTGACGGTTCATTTTATCAATGAAGACTGGCTTTTAAAAAGCTACTGTCTCCAGACGAGCTACTTCCCAAATGACCACACTGGGGAACTGCTTGCTGTAGGCTTGCAGGAAGCACTGGAATCCTGGGGACTAGCAGAAAACAAGCTAGTAGCTATCACCACAGACATTGGGACCAACATCAAGAAGGCAGCCCAAATCAACAACTGGACAAGACTGCAGTGCTTCGGGCACAGGCTTCACACAGCTATAGGTATGTAACAGTACCTGTATAATAATCTTTTATAAACAACTGGAAAAAAAAGTTAAAAATTGTATAATTACTGCATATTATAAATTATTTCTATTAATGTATTATTTACATGACATGAAATGTGAATTTTGTATAGTGTACCTCTGGGGAAGTCATTTGTGGAGGTTATAAATTAGAACACTGTTACTTTGTGTCATTTATTATATTACAATTAACATTTTTTGGGTTACAAAACCAGGTGTGGGATGTATATTGGATTTTATTCACTTTATGACTGGTGTAGTTGTCCTATATATACAGTAAACTGTATTTTTTATTTTCATTTATTTCTGGTATTCCTCACTGAGTTTCATCCACTTTTAATAATACAATGTGCTATAAACTTCTCTCTGTTTCAGTGCAACAGATAATGTGCAATGTATTGTCAGTGTTTTAGTTCTTTTTTTCTCTCTTTTATGAACAGATAAAATGTTTTAAACACTTTTATTCTGTTATCCTTCCTGCAGCAACACTGTAAATTTGCATCTTGAGGGAGTAATACTGGTAAATCTAATCTTTTGACTTAAACTAATAGAATTATTTGCTGTTTTTACAGAGTCTGGTGTGAAAGATGATCGGATACATCGTGCCATTGGAGCCTGTAAAAAGGTCGTTTCAGCTTTCTCTTACTCATGGGAAAAAAGAAGAGACCTGGCCGTTGCACAGGATGAACTTGGTCTTCCAAAGCACATATTGACAACTGAGACACCCACCAGGTGGGGATCACGTCAAAAAATGATTAAAAGAGTACTTGAGCAGGAGAAAGCCATTAGTCAGGTTCTCAAATCAGAGAGAAAATCAAGGCACCTGGTGCTCACCTGGCAGGATGTGGATGTGCTGGAGTCCATCAACAAGTTGCCAAGCTAGCCAGGCAGTACATGTGTATCCCTGCTACTAGTTCTCCATCAGAGAGAGCTTTCAGCACTGGAGGGAACATTGTCACGTGCCACAGGGCAGCCCTCAAACCAGATGCTGTGGACCGTCTGGTTTTCCTTGCCCACGATTTGTAAAAGTTCAAAATGTGTGAAAACTGTTCTGAAAATACTGCAGCCAAGTTGCACTACAATACTTGAATACTAGAAGTTCCACACTCATTGTTTATTGTTTAAATATTTTTATTTAAGACAGGCAGTTACACACTTATTTATGTTTGTGTGATTTAAGAGTAGAAGAGTTGAATGTTTACTTTGTGAACACTTAATTACATAATTAAGTGCACAATTAACCACAACATTTTGCAAAATGTGAATATTTGAAACTTCACACTCAGGGTTTTTGTTTCTTGTTTAGATACTTATTTAATACGGTTGCACATTTATTTATGTTTGTGTGATTTATAGAATAAGAGAGTAAGATGTTTACCTTGTAAATTACCTGCACAACAAAAACAAAGTTACATAC